TACAGACGCTCCCCGACTTACGAACATTCGAGTTACGAACAACGGTACATACGAACATTTTTGCGGGTGCAGGTATGTCGAAAAATTTTCTTGGACAGAGATGCTGTAAGTTAGATTTTGTATTACGCGCCTTTTTCCGAGTACTGTAGTACTTCTTTCCGCCACTAATACCGACGTGAGGCGCTGTGAGAGGAGGAGGAGGAGGAGGAAACGCCTGTCCCCAGGAAGAAGTTTGAGACGGAACTCTTGGCCAAGGGGTTTTCTCATAGATAAAGCCATTGCACTCTTCGAGCAGCAAGACCCAAATATTGAACGTTGCACAAAGGTTGCAAAGCAAATGAATGATGCCATGCAGTGCTACTGCATCATTTATGATGAGAAAAAGAAGAAAACTGTGCAATCGTTGTTAGATCGCTTCTTTCGGCCAGTTTCTCCTACACCCTCCAAGGAAGATACTCGTCAACCCTCATCTTCTTCTCCTGGACCCTCAACTTCTTCCTTCACTGATGTTACGGAGGAGGGGGTAACTCTTGAAGCCCATTCCAGCGGCGACGAAGACCCTCTCGGCCCCATGATATAAAATCCTCCTCTTCCTTCTCCTCCCCCTCCATCATCTCCTTAAGCCTTCGAGTACATCTTCCAAAAGTAAGTTAAACTTCATTTTAGTATACTTGTATAAACCTTAAACATACTTATATAAGCCTTAAACATACATTCCATACAAAATATAGCACTGAAGCAACTTACGAACGAATTCAGCTAACGAACGATCCTTCGGAACGTATCTCGTTCGTTAGCTGGGGAGCGTCTGGATATTGATCCAAAAATACCACAATATTCTGTAGCTTTTTAAGAATTTAAAAAACTGAAAATCAATCAATCAAACAAATAAGTCCATGAATTGATTGAGTTTAAATAGTGGTTCGAATGGGTCTGGGGGTCCCACATATTTTCATCAATTATTCATTAGCTCTGAGACTCACCCAATTCTTCTTCTGAGGCAGCACGCATGGGAGTTATAGGTGGATGATCGCCAACATCAACTCCTTTCTTGGGATGGTTTATTCCATTTGATAGAAGACTTTTCACCTGATGATTAAACACGCAGCCTCAATCAATTTGGATGATACAGTTATCATGTACAGTCATATGAAAAAAAACATACACATTTCATATTCTCCCCAGACGCATCGGTGATTCCTTTATATTTTCTCTAGACATTTTTATTTGACACAAATGATCGAGACATGACAGCTATACAATGCGATATTTAGGTCTTTGTGAGTGGATCTGAGACAGAACAGTACAAAGCATTTTAGCTGAGCAAACGTATTTGGAACAGAAACACGAACAACAGATTTTCTTCTGCTCAGTTGGGTCGCAAGGCAGCAGACTTCCTCTCCCCAGCCACTTCATTCAGCTCTTCTGAGAGAATCCCAAGACACTGCAAGGTGAGCCGGAAGACATACAGTTGTCTCTCCAGCGTGCCCAGCATTGTCCCCAGAGCTTCCTACTGGTGAGATGTGCCCAGAAAACTTCCCCAGGGAGGTGTCCAGGAGGCATCCTGATCAGACACCAGAGCCACCTCATGTGGCTCCTCTCATTGTGGAGAAGCAGCGGCTCTACTTGACTGAGTAGTGACTGAGCTTCTTACGCTATCTCTGACGTAGTGCCCAGACACCCAGCAGAGCTGTCTGTCCCTTCCTTCCTCCCTATCTCCCTTCCTCCCTCCCTCCCCCTTTTTTCTCCAAGGAAGAACATGAAGGTGAAGAGTGCTAAATTGTGGGACTATTTTAAGATGCCATACAGCGTTTTTATAGCAATATAGACCTGGAAAGAAGAATGAAGAGTCTCGTCACTTCATGGATTTAACTTACTGTGGGTATTTTGGGGCCTGTTTATTCACCTCCACCAACAAACACGAAGGAGACACACTATGCATGTTTCGATCAGTCGTCAGCGAAACAGGCATCCGTCAGTGACAGACAGAGAGGTCTGTCAATACTTGACTGGGTTAGTGACAATTACACCAATGGTCGAAAATTCACTTCCATCAGTGCTTAGAAGTTTGTCTTGCATCGTCATTCATCAGCAAAATGGGCGTACCTCAGTGACGGACTGACGGACCTTCCGCCAGTACTGACAGAATGCCCACCTCTGTCTGTATGTGGCCTTGAAATGAACATGTTTAGAAACCCCTGTGGTAGGACAAACTTGATCTTTCACCTCCTCTCCCCATAAACGACAGTTGATCTGCTGCTTCAGGGTTCCCTTCAGGTCAAAGTTTTCTGGATAGTGGGTCGTTTCCGTCCGAGGATAGCTGATGTAGCCCTGTGTGTATAAACGCTCAGCAATCTGCATAGTGTACTGGGGACCCATACCTGAGAAATAAAAAAAAAAATTGATATACAGTGTATGTATCTAAGACCACACATCTTAACATCTTTTTCTTTTAAAACAAGCTGCGTTGTTTACAAGCTAAATCAGGGTTCCCACTCTTCCACTTCCTTTTTATTTCTGGACCTTTTAAGGACTTTTGAGGGCTAATTTAGCCATTTTTATAAGGACTTTTCTCCATTCAGCAGGGGATTCACGATGGATTTAATGCCCGCTCAGCAATATGCGTGCTGAACAGAAAGCCACATATCACTGAGCTGGTGTTCAAATCATTGCTGCCAAAGATTTTTAGGGGCAATCAGCTAACCCTTTATTTGACATACTGTATGTCGAATTTTCATTTTCCTACCTGTAAAAAAATTTGAATTCATTCTCAAATAAAGTACACTAAGAAAAAATTTAATTTAGAAACTATAAAACTTCAATTTATTTTCAAATAAAAGTAAATTTAAGGATTTTTATTGATTTTAGAAGCTTTCCCTGAAAATTAAGGACAGTTAAGAACATAATTTTACAACTTTTTTATGGATTTTTATTAACTTTAAGGACCAGTGGGAACCCTGTAAAAAGGTGTAAACATACCTAGGGAAGAGCTTGCCACTCTCAACATCTCGACAGTATTTAAAGCCAGAGGTCTCTGCTTAGTCTTCTCCTTCTTAGTCACTGACTCCACCTGTATTGGGAGTGAAGATTATGGTGTTTCAAAGGAGGTATGCAGACCTGTACAAAGTTCTACCATAATTTAGCTCAACCTTAAAAGGTACATTGAGAGCAAGAAACACAATATAATGCATACTATTACAGGAAACATACTTTATAAATCACCTAGAATATGTTGTAGGCTTAGAAAAGTGGCAAATAGTGACCATAAAGCGCCAAATTTAAATGGACTGTGTGTGTTTATACTTGCCCGGGCTTCCTTGGATGTTTTGGCCAGGCTCACAAACATTTGGGCCACCTCTTTGTCAAAGACCTTTACCCGATTCCAATCAAGGGTCAATGGGTTGTCCTTCCCTTTGAACACCTGACAACAGAAAATGCTTCTCAATATACCACGACCACCACATGTAATGATGTTCAACGTTTGCAGGTGCTGTACCTTCGCATGTATAACCCAGTAGTTCTCTGGTTTGAAGGACTGGATTTTGTCATGACGTTCCACACAGAAGCCAAGAGTTGGGGTCTGGCAGGGTCCAAATGATACTAAAGAAGAGTCCAGATTTCCATACTTTCCTTGGAAATATTTGGTTTGGAACCTAAAAACAATTTGGTATGCAGAAGGTAGGCTTAACCCTCATATATTCAATTACTATCCTCAAAAGAGTGAAAGCACAAAAACAACTGCATTCATCAGCACATAGTGTTTTTAAATGTATAGTAAGTCATGTAGTTAAAACAAATTCCATGTCAGATTTGTGTTATAGTTCATGTGTTAACCCTTTCATGCTTGAAATCAGACAGTGTAGGTCAGGATTTTTGTTATTGTTACTCTTCAGGCATGGGGAAAAGAAATGTTGAACAACAAAATTTTTCACCATATATTTTTCTAGCAGTTTATGCCACGTCCACTAAGGTGGACAACATGCGTTTACGACTGATGATTTGTGGAAAAGAAGATGGAGGCACACAAAGCAAAGCTTTATTGGAAAAGTGTACCGAGTGAAGGCGCAACCAATGCGTAAATCCAGTTCCTGGCGTGCATCCACTGAAAGGGCTTCATTGCGGTTGGGCTCTCCAAGGTGATTCATAGCTTTCCAGATATCAGTGTCAGTAATGGAGCTGAATTTGGCACGGTAAACGGTCTGCTCCCAAACGACCCCCTTCATCACTGGCTGTACAGCCTCCATAACCTTGAAATAGATTTTCAAAAATTAACTTTATTCAAGTTATTCAACAATGACAGAAAACTGTGTGTGCGGTCTCAGTCACGGGTCATGGTTTTACAACAGGATAATGACCCAAAAACACACCTCAGGAGTGGCTCAGAGCACAACATTGGCCTATTCTAAAGCGGCCTTCTACAAAGTGTAAGCCTTGATCTAAATTGTATTGAACATCTGTGGGAGGAGCTGAAACACATGCCATCTGGAGAAGGAACCTTCAAACCTAAGATAACAGGAGCAGCTAGCTCTTGAGGAGTCGGCCAAAATACCTGCTGAGAGGTTCCATTATTATTAATGAAAGTTAAAAAAAAAATCATTTGATTGCAGTGATGATCTCAAAAGGATATGCAACAAGCATTTTTGTCCAGGTTACCAACTTAATTCAGTCTGTGACGCCATTTGTTTGTTTGTTTGTTTTTTCATAATAATTCTGTTTATCCACAATTTAAAAAAAAAAAAAAAGTTTGGTTTTCAGAGATTAATATTCATCACATTAGTTTTTTGTTTTTTGTTTTTTTTTTTGCTTTTGTTGTGTTTTTTTCCCCCTTCGTTAGCAGAGGGGTACCAACAATTTCATTCGTCCCCGTGTATGAATAGCAGACAACAAGGCTGCGGAGTCAGTGCCACTTGATACCATCAACTTAAGAAAGTGCCTGCAACAAAAGTGTGCATTTACTGTCGCCAGTTAAGACGCATTACTCCCGTACATAAAATTCTAAATGCAAATCTACATTAAGTATAATATTAAAAATTCACTTTTGAAAAGGGCTGAGGTTCATCTAGTACAGAGGTTACCATCACCATGGCTGCGGGCTCCAGGGACCACATGGGTAACCCTTTCTCAAATTAGCTTATCAGTGACTACTTTACATGGAGTCGATAACGCTTTTAAAACCAGAATATTGGCAGTATTCAGGCATAAAGGCCATGTAAATGCGTGCAAAAACCCAAATATGCTCTTATTAGGCGGAGAAAAAAAAGTAGTGTGTTTCCGGTAACCCGACCGACCGAGAATTTCTACGTCGAAAAAAAACTTTATGGTCGGCATTTTTGTCAAACAACCCTCTACATTTTTGTGTAGAGAGGGTTTACATCGGTGCAAACTCTCGCGATATTCACGTTGAGCGCGTGCGTCGTTTGCCCTGTCGTATGTCAACAACACTGAATCATGGCGGCGGCCGCGATCTCCGACGACAGTTTAAACGGCGTTTTCTGTGTTACAGTCGCATGCTCGCACCGTAATGCGTCGCGCTCCGGCCCCCTGAGTCCGGAGCGGGGAGAAAACTGAATAGCAGCGGAGCAGCAGGACGGCGGCGGGGGGGTTGCAGGCGTCGCAGGGGTAGGGGATGGTGTCGGTGGGCGTCGCGCGGCCAGCCGCTTCCCAGTCCCGACCGTCTCCCCCACCCCGCCGACCCGCGCGCTCGTCAACGACCGTCCGCCTAGTCTACGCAACTCTAGTCTAGGCCGGGCCGCAGCCGGCGTCGGGGACCTCTCCCTGCCGGTGCCATCGCGACCCGGCCGACCTCGGAACCTAACACCCAGCCGTCGGGTACCCAACGCTCTCGCCGCCTTCGGTGGCGAGCGGGGGGTTCATTCTCTCCTTGTTTTATGGTTATTTTGTTTAAATTTTTGATGGAGAAAAAAAAAAAAAAAATTGCTGAAATTTCATGTTACCGGAAACACACTATCTTTTTTGTTTGACCTTATGGTTTACCCCTTTTCAAACCCGAATATTGGAATATGAAAATGCAAACATGTTAACGTGTTATTTTTGCCATAGAATGTAGCAAGTGGAAATGGCGTCCATTTGCGTCACGACCCCCGTACGTCGCCGTTCAAATTTATTCAAATGTGGGAGTATCTCTGTCTGCTCATTTATGCGAATGTGTCAGAAATCAGAACTGACCCGTATACTGACTGCAGGTAAAGGTAGTCGGTGGTGGGACAGTGACTGTGTAGGAATGTTTTAGAATGGATCATTTGATAACGTAAACACTGGCAGAGGTTTATAGAAACAAAGTGTTGTGTTGTCTGTTTCCTAGCATTGTGATAATGTCTTCACATAAATGAATGTCGTTCATCTTTAAAATTGTCACACAATAACATTATGAAAGGTAATTTGAGCAAATTTGTTCATCAAACTGGTAGCCCTTTGCATTAATCAGTCCCCAAGAAGTAGCTCTCATTTCCAAACAAATTGGTAACCCCTGTCCTCGTGTCAGCCACGAACGCGTATGTTTTTCTCTACTGCTCCGAGCATACGGTGTGAAAGAGCACACAAAAACTGAACTGTCGCAAAAGAGGTTGTGGGATGAAGATGTTCTGACCTCAAAACAGATGTTCTCGCCTTCTTTGTCACAGTCCAGCCATAAAACCAAGTAGTCACAGCCTCTGGCCTCAACCTAACAACAGGAGAATATGGCAAAACGTCAAAGACACAAAGTGCAATACACACTCTCTACACACTCTCGAGTTTAAGAGCAGGATCCCACATATACATTGAACAAACCTGGAGGAATTTCACCATGTTGAGCTTGGGGTTGACCTCCTTTTTTTCTGTTGGAGCTTTGCTGAAAAGTTCTGCGGGGTCCACTTTATCCCAGTTGTTGTATTTAGCTGGAAAAACAAGGATTTTATTTTCAGTAGATGTTATCCTGCTCCCTAAAACACAGTCATTCTTGTTAACCCAGGGGTGTCCAAATGCTTTCGTTTGAGGGCCACATGCACAAAAGTGGATGGACACAAAGGCCACTTTAATGATATTCATTCATTCATTGTCCAATCCGCTTGATCCTTACAAGGGTCGCGGGGGGCTGGAGCCTATCCCAGCTGTCTTCAAGCAGTATGCAGGGGACACCCTGAACCGGTTGTCAGCCAATCGCAGGGCACACAGAGACGAACAACCATCCGTACTCACACTCACACCTAGGGACAATTTGGAGTGTTCAATCAGCCTACCATGCATGTTTTGGGGAATGTGGAAGGAAACCGGAATATCCGAAGAAAACCCACGCATGCATGGGGAGAACATGCAAACTTCACACAGGAAGGCCGGAGCCGGGATCGAACCCACGACCTCTGCACTGTGAAGTCAACGTGCTAACCACTGGACCACCGGGCTGCCCCATTTAAATATTATTCACCTTCAATTTATTAATCAATCATGCAAGTGTGTATTTTATGTTGATTTGATAAAGTGCCACACAACAGCCTTCTGTTGAAGGTTATAAGGCAAATAGTTTCCCCACGATTCTGGGGGACCCCACGAGACTAGATCCACCCTTGCATTGACACCCATTGACACACTCCTTTCTCACTTTGACCATCTCCCGACGTTTAATTTTTTATCTAGTCTTGCGGGGCACGTCAAATGTCAATCATAGTATATGCCACGGGCTGCTCCTGAGCCATAGTTTGAGCACCCGCGCGTTAACTGCACGCTAAAGAGCTGTAGAAGGATATAAACCTATAATCTTTCATACTAGCCTGTCAATCATAATGTATTAGGCAAACTTGTAAAATCCAATGCATTGCCAGAAGCAAAACATACTTGGGAAGCACAATGACCTTCAAACAAATTGGAGCTCTTTGAAAAGAGGGAAAGTATTCTCACTACTTGAAAATAAAAGACAGAGATTACATGATGCAAGTCTGCTCAATTGAATGCACTGTGACGATGCCAGATAGAGCTGCACTCTTCTCCAGAAACACAGCTGAGATTGTAAAGAAGTCTTTCATCTGACACTAAAAGTTGGACGCAGCAGTGCAAAACAGAGTTTGCAGATGCTGCATTAAAATGTCAAAATACAGCTGAGATCACAAATTGCAGCAAATGCATCACCCATGTGACCCATCTCATGCAAATAAAACAGAACCCTCTCTGTCATTGAGTTGCGCCAATACGAGCATGGTTTGTGTAACTATGACAACTACTGATCTTAAGTCCTGGGAGAAAAATGGCTCTTATGTGCGGCAGTCCCGCCAAATACAGGATGTTTGAATGAGAGTCAACCCGAGTGAGTCTCAGTGACAACTACATTTTTAGTTTTGAACTTTGTCACTTTGCTGTTTATTTTAGAGAGTGGATATAAAAAGTCAGAAAACCCCTGTCCAGGAGCCACATTTTTTTAGTATAAAACAATAGAGATAAATTATTTGAACACGTCTTTCATCATTCTTGCGATCTACACTTGGACAACTTCAAATGGGAAAAAGGGACATCTTTTCGAGAGGGAAAGTAAAAATAAACAACTTAAAAAATGTGATCGCCCAAGGGTGCAAACACTCCCAGCTTCTAAATGGGAATGTAGCTGTGTCTTTATAATCAAACAATTACATTTCTACACACTGAATGGGAGTCACCTGCTACCATTTGGTGTTATTGTAACATTCCAAAATGATGCCATTTTGTTTTCTTCTGTAGTGACAAAAAGAAAATGTCAACTAGATTGAATCGTCTCCATTACCCATGTGCTGCAGTCGATGTAAATAAGTTTATATAACGCAACATACAATTTTACAAAAATTGTAAAAGTATTATTCCTGAATATTGATTTTACTTTCAACCACTCGACATGTTCAGTGGCATCAGTGCTATACATACACATATAGTTCTTATTTTTTTCTTTGTATTTTTGCCCTCTATGGACAATAAAAGCGGTATTGTGCTATGACCAAAACATAAATATAAGTCTCTATAAATAAAACATGAATTGGAATATTTCATATCACACAATTTTTATGCTTTGTCTTTGATTTAAATATGACAATACGCAAAAATCTACAAAAATTGTAGAAATTGTAACACATGGGTTACAATAGACGGTAACTAATAAAATTTAAAACATTCAACGTGCAAAATAATGACAGATTTGTGATATCACTATGAATATCATGTTTTTTTTTAACGTTTGATGAAGTAGCAACATCAGTGACCAGCATCCATATTTCACCTTCATTTTTCCAGACGTCTTGTCAAATGCCGACATGACTTTTGTAGTTGGTAGGAGCCATCTGATGCTCACAAAGTTGAGTCAATAATGGCAATTTTTTTAGGCTCCAGTAACTGGGACTCCGTAAACACTGTACCAAAGTGTGCCCTTAACACTCCTACAAGAAGATTATCAGGTCAAAGGGCACAACTTAATGGTGCCGCTAACTGTTTGACATAAATAAAAGTATAGCGGCTCTTCTGATGCTGGACTCGACAATGTTGCTGATGCCTCTAACGAATGAGTCAGTGATACATGTACACTCACAAACGTGTTTGAAAAAGGTGGGTGTTTACATTTGTTCATTCATTATCCACTAACAATAAATAAAAGGCATCAATTTGAAATAATAAACAGATTTGGCACGATACAATAGGAATAATTACCCACCAATGAAATCCAGGCTCATCACATGTCCACAAACAGAAGTCATCTTATAACGTGCTGTTTGGCCTTGGAAGCTGCCAGTGAACTCATGCACAAAGCATGATGCATTGAGCCCCTTTCGGCTTGTACAAGTTCCTGAATAAAGAAAAAGAGAAAGAACAGCCATTGGTCAATTGATTAAAAATGCATGATTTTATAATGATGACCATATATATTGACATGGTGCACTTAAAACCCCCGTTTCAGACAGGACAGTAAATGAAGTTAAAGGGCAACTATAGGCTATTGTTTTTACGAATCATATTCATACAGTGTCGGGATTCTATTTGGTTGAAACAATTTGCAATGTACGTAGCATAAGCATCCTCATTTTATGGCAGGGCATGCATTGAAGTGTTGTTTGATTCACACAGCACATTCTTGATCATCTATCATCTGAAACATGCATTCTGAATGTGGCATTTCTATGCCCTTTACATTTGAGCAAACGCACAAAGCAAATTATGCGTGTCAACCTCTATGATCCTTGTTAAAATCTGTCCCGAAATCTAAAATTGTCATGTGTAAAAAAAAATAACGGATTTCTGCAATCATTTTGTGATTTACACACACTTGAACAACAACTGAGCAAACAACAAACAGTTGACTTGAGTGATTTCAAAACGAGTAACCCGTCAAATTGTTGTGTACAAGAAATAAGGTGATACGATAAGTAAACATTTATTCGGTTTCACTGTTGTAACGGGCCTCCAAGGGAAGATGTAAATCCAGTGGGCCGTGATAAAAATGAGTTTGACAGCCCTGTCATACAACATTGTGTAAAGGAGTCGCTATAACACAATTTAGCAAGAAAAGGATAGATAGGTAGATAGATGGATAGATAGAGAGTCCAGAAGTTGTTTCAGGTTCCAAGTATCAATCTTCCCATCAACACAGATTGGCTTTCAATTTAAATCACCATCCAACATGAAAAGTAACTGCCACCTCGTTACAGGAAAATTACCTGAATAGAAATCTATGAACTAAACGACACAACCACATTTCTATTTGGTAAACATTTGTTGACTTTTAACAACGGAATGAAAAAAATATTTTATTGTATCTGTATATTAAGAACAGATATAAAATGGGTGATTAATTTGTGATTATTCGCGAGTTAACTGCGGAAATCATGCAATTAATTACAATTAACATCATCACCTATGTGTGTGTGTGTGTGTGTGTGTGTGTGTGTGTGTGTGTGTGCAGTATGACGTAGGCATTCATTTTAAATTGCATTACAAACTGCGTTGAAAAGCATTAGACTTGCTGATGCCAGGAGAAACACTGAGATACACACACACACACACACACACACACACACACACACACACACACACACACACACAAAAATGAAATGACTCCATCATCCCTCATTATGATGAACCAAGGCTGTTTTAGAAGTTATTCAATAGATACTGCATGTGCGTAGACTCTTTTCCTGGGTTGTGAGGGAGCAGTTGAAAGTGCTCTTTCATTTGCTAAATTGTTGCATCCTCTGCGAATCAAATTATTCCCTCAAGGTTGACTATTAATTGACAAAGGACGCGAAGATAAAATAGAGTGGACTGCGTGTCCACTTCACCGCAATTTCAAATTTACTGAAGACAAATACTTTTTAAAAATTCATGCGGGTTGCACACATGTGCGTGCGCACACACACACACACACACACACACACACACACACACACAC